ACGACTGTATTTATATCTATACTCGTATGTTTATTTTTTCTTTTTACTTAGATTTGCGTAATTATATGAACTGTGTAAATTATTGCTTAACTTAACTGGCAAGAAATAGTGGGGAAAATTTTTTTGTTTCATTCTTTACCGTTTTCCTGCGTTACGTCATCTAACTCAAAGCAAGAATGTTTCAGCCTAATTTAAATCTTTGGTTCAAAATGACTGTTTGTTTTCATTTTTTTTCATGAAAGTTTTTGCAACTGCATAGTTGCAATCGGTATTTTGACCTTGTTCTTTATTTAATTAAATATATAATACCACTGTTTTCAGTGTGATTTAAGCAATGAGAGAGGCCATGGTCAATTTCCCGACGTCGTTGAGTAATGAAGAAAAGCATTTGAAAGAAATGTTTGAGAAACTGAAAGCTGTGGTTAGTTCTTCAGATTTTTTGCATTACTCTGTATGACAGGTTATAAAAGTATCATAATTTTGGTCAGCTTTGAGAAAAAGGGCCTTGTAACAACAACTAATTTTTTTGGTGTTACAATGGATGATTTGATATTTCCATTTCAATTTTTGAATAGGGTCACTACTCGAAATGAGGCAGAAATGTCTAGAGTAAATTAAAAAAGTTTTTTGCAAAGAAGTAAACGATATATACAGCTTTTTAAGAAGAATCCAGTAGTGGGATGTGGTTTTTTGAGAACCCGCATTTCCTTACAATCATTTTCAGCGCAAGCTTATAGCGGCAGCAAATCGCTCCAGTGCCACCGTCGTGAGTGCAGAAGCCGCTAAGGCGGAAAGGAAGAATGCCAAGAGAAGTTTGTTTTAGTTTTTTCGCATTCAGACGTATTTTGCCTTAATGCTTTCTTTTTAGGTATTCAGCAAGCTGAGGAGGCTACAGAAGAAGTCAAGCGTAAGGTTATGTCTGGTGCAATTAACCTCAAGAAAGCAAATGAAAAGAGTACGTTTAAACGGTCAAAAGTGCTGGAAAAACGTCGAGTGAGTTTGTCACATCCGCTCTATTTGTTATTGAGTTTGTTTTTTTCTTGCAAAACTAAATTTAGCCAATTTGGATCATTTTTTATTCTGTTGCAGGAAAGCGATAGCAGATTGAAGCTTGATACCTCCGATCATGCAAGTTATTGTTTGTGAAGGAGTTTACGTCTTAATTTTGCGAAGGGCAAATTCCATTTGTCTTCTGATATTTGATTTTTGGCGGGAACTTCAGTCATTAACACTGTTTCAGGGTAATAGTAGCGGTAATGAAATGTTGTCGCCAACCAGTACTTTGTTTCTTTCTTCATCCTACTCACAAGATTCGCATGACCAGTCTAAGATTAACAGGGTAATTTAAGATTTTACATTTTAAAGCGTTATCTTACAGAGATGTTGCTCTTTGTACCTCTTCATTTTGGCATTTTAACAGGATTACGAGCTTTAAAATGAAGAAATTTTGTTTGCAAAGGAGAAAACATTGTGGCGGCAAGGAGGATTTTTAGTGGAATTTTTTTGTTAGAAGAATTTTTTTGTGATGTCTTAAAGCTTTTCTGATTTCAAGCCAATGCTAAAAGAGCCTTATATATTGAAAGGTTCTTTACTTATACTAGGAGAGTAATGCTAGTTATTTTTTAGGACAGAAGTTTTAGGTTACTGTTGAAAAACTTAAGCACGATAATTTTTATCGGGAGGAGATTGTCCTTTACATACACGTAAAACACATGAAACGAAAAAAAGAAAAATAATTTAGAGAGATAACTTGAGGGCTCGGTAAAAAAGGACTCGTGAAAAGAACAATTTAAAAATTTGGAACTTCGAGCGCGCAATTCGGCTGTGGTTTATTTCTGGCAAAATACACTTCAGTTTTTGTTGGCCTTTTCAAAGAGTGAAGTGACTGTTTTACTTTCAGTGTATGTCAGCAGATTAAAGCAGTACAAAGTCCCATTCTTTAAATTTGCCAACGTAGCAGTTTTAGAGTGTAAAATTTAGTCATTGTCGCCTCGGGATTAAAGTTTTATGAACGTTGGTCAGCGCTCTCTTACCCCAACAGTTGTACATTTCCCTGTAGGTGTGCAGAACATGCACTCCAAATATAGTCCTCTGAAGCTAAGGAACTATCAGTTTGATACAAAAGTTCCTTTCTCTGCATTTAACAGCAAGTAGTTTTTGTCGATAAGGCTACGCTACAGACCTGTAATCGGAATTTGGGGACCCATTACCTCAAATTTCACTTTGAAAGAATTATTGTTCCCTCTGGAACCAGCTAAAAGGTCTCTAGCTTGAAAATGAGGGGTAAGAAGGCAAGATGTCTTTAAATTTTTAAAACAGTATTTTTTTTTGTAAAGACAAGGAGATACCGTTTCAAAACAAGTAGACTTTGCAGACTAAGCAAGCTAAAATTTTAAAAATGACTTATTTTTGGTGTAGTAAGAAGTCGTATGGTAGATTTGATTCTGCAATTCTGAAAGCAGGCTTTGCTAGTTCCATAAGACACGTTATGCAGGTGTCTACAGATGTTGTGAGTGTTTTAAACAGTCTTTCTAAGTTTCGTTCTAGTATGTTTTTCAGGGTCCAACTTTATATGTTAGGGGGTACGATTTACAGTCCGAGTCTCTGCATAAAGCTTTTGAGAAGTATGGAAGAATAACTCGTTTATTTGTCGAAGAAAGAAGAAAGTAAGTGTTTCAGAATTACTTCCCTCGAATAAATGGTGACGCTAAGAGTAAATTCATTTGAATACCAGGATGCTGTGTGCTTTTTGTACAAATAATGTCTGTCACGCAGTCGTGCTACCGCTTGGCTGTTTCGCTTTAAAACTGTATCTGTTTTTGATGGTTTTTAGAATCAATTTTTTACTCGCTTGACCAACGGCTTTTCGTTAAGCTGATTTAAATTAATTGCAGAAGCGCGTTTATAACGTTGGCAAATGCAGAACAAGCTGAAGAAGCCATTAAAGAGGTATCTTAAAACTTATTTTGATCTTCATTTTGATATCCAACTACGCATCCAGAGTTTTTATGCCTTTCAGATGGATGGAAATATGGTTAATGGTATTACTTTGAGAGTTTCTTTCGCTCGCCGACAGAACCAAACTGGACAGCCTCGTAATTTGCCAGTTCTTTTTCCTCGCCATAGGTCTGCAGGAGGTTCTGATTACGTTCCATCAGAGCGAAACAGTGGTTTCCGGTCACCGCGTAAAAATCGTCCTAACGATCTAGAGCCCCATCAGTCACAAATGTCTCCCCCAGGAATGAGAAAGACCTCGTCAGTGCAGATGGCATGGAATCAAGCAAGTAAGTCCCGGAAGGTTCATGACGCTCGCATAGACAGACCCTGTCCGTACTAATTCCTGAAGTATTTTTGCATTATTTGGATTCGCATAACCTGCAAGAAAGCAAAAAGTTTCAACTGAGATAATTTCTTTGAATAATTTTGTTTCAGAATATTTTAACCTGATATGTAATTTGCAGCGGAAAGGACAAGCAGTACGAAGCGCCGAAATGACAGTAGAACTTTAATGGATTACTCAGATGATAGCTCTCTTACTACTAATGACCCGGAGCCATAGATCCAAAGCAAAGTTTGAAAAAATTCCCCATTTAATGGAGTTCACAAGTGCCATTTTTGTTTCAAAAAAAAAAGAGGAGTTAAGGCAGAGAAGTGAAGTATGCGTTGCAAGCAGTGCTTGAAACTTAATGTTTATTCCAACGTATAAATACAAGGTAGAAGTGCTTTAGAGAAAGTGCTGATGATGGTTATAAAGAGAAGCCCTAGCTGCCAGTACTGTTGGGGTTTAGTTGTACGTTCGATAAGCAGATCTGCAGGATTGAGAGGCAAAAATGTGAAAATATTTGTAGATGGATAAAACTTCGCCAGCGGTTGAATCGGTTTTCTATAAAAGAAATTAAGGCGATGTGTAAGGAATTCTTATTCGAGGTCATCGACTTTAGGTCTCTGGACCGCTTCTTTTGTTGGTTTTCCTAGTAAAGCACTGGATCGCTTTAGCGTGGCGTAGTTGAAAATTGCCGCCTTATTTTTATTTAGAAATTGCAGCGTCCTGTAAGCAGTGTGTCAGGATGAATGAGTCCTAGAAATGAGCAAATGTGTAGAGAATCTACTGCGGGAGCAGGCTTCCTAGTTGGCATTCGCTAGCATTTCGAATACGAGGGTCCTCCAAGAACAGACCTGAAACAGTTGAATTTACAGGAGAACTCTGCTATGTTCAGTGAATAGACTTCTAAAAGAAGAGAGACAGCTGTTTTAGCACATCTAGGGGGCGGGATGCTTCTAAATATTAAGAGGAAGTGAGTCCTCTGTAGCTTTATTTCTGGAAAGTTGTATGAGTTGGTTAAACAGTAATTACGAGTACGGTTTCACTTGACAGGTCGTTATATAGGGTTGTTCACTGCCATCAAGACGTCAGCGACTGGGAGTATTTGTATCATGCAAGTCGATTTCTGAGTCGGGGAGTTTTAAGAAAAAAAAATTTGTTTAGGGGCCTTGGAAGCAAGCATCTTACTGTTTAGGCCGGAATTATTTCAAAAAGTGCGATGTCGCTCTTTCGTAAAAAGAAAAAAAGCTTAGCAGCTGAGAAAGAATATGCAATTTGATGGGGGAACTGCGCGAACCCTTGCATAGGTTCCAGCAAGTCATTACACCGTCCGCCAAAATTTCATTTTCCGATCAAAATAAGGTGAACTTGAGGTAAACTAGATTTTGAAAGCAACTTTCCAAGCAGCCAACGAGTTCAGCAAAGCTAGCTTCAAAGCCACTTATTGAGGTTCAGCTAAGAAATTATTCGTAAAAATTCCTCGCTCCATGGCTTTGGTTGTAAAGCTACCTGCAGGAGACGAACAACGAGGGGAATGTGAACTCAAGGAGGGGTTACGCCGAAAAAGCTTAGGTTATTGCTTAAAAATTTTTAAAAGAATTACTGAGAATGTCAGAAAACTGTGGAAATATCATTCAACTTTAAAACAGTTAGAGTACCACCCTTAAGTTCATCGTTTCTAATAATTTCATGTAAAAGCTATGTACCCTCTTCCACTGGTTCCAATGGAATCACGCGACTTTTACCTTTGAGATCCATATCATGACGCTGCCTCGTTTCTCTACGTCCTGAAAATTTCAACTGAGATTAAGAAGTGAAGAGTTACAGTATCCGGGGGTCTATTCTGTTTTTCATCCGTGTTAGTCAGGTTTAACAGGGAGCGCATTAAGAACGGGACATTTACTTCTCAGGAAAATCAGTCATCAAGCTTGAGGCAAAAACTTTTTGAAAATTCTAAAGATTACTTTTTATAGGCGTTACTGCGCAGAATACTCGATCGCACTTATCATACTGCACAATCATATAATCTTTTTTATTTTCACTTACAATTTGAGATGGCATCCACCTGAAAAAAAACGAACAGAGGAAAACACAACTTCAACTTTACACAAATTTTGATCTCAAACATAAGTCTGAATTTTTTTTACCCCGATTTTGTATCAAGTTCATAAATCGCACCATCACTTCTTCGTTTTATTGCATTTTTCTTGTAATCTCCAAAACTCATGACTTTTTTACTTTCTAAATATGAATAAATTAGACGAATTCTATAAAGTCCCAACGATAACTGCTTTCAGAAGTGTTTCTTAACCATGGAAATGGCAGACTGGATTTTTTATATAGTAAAAGGAACATTATTAAATTATGGTACTGTTTACTTCAAAAAATTAACACTAGTCATCGAGAATGAAAATGCTTATTTGCTCATTAATGTTTCTAAAAAGGGAAAAAAGGTAACAACGGAAAGATGGAAGAGAACTTGGGAAAAAAAAGTACAAATTTTGAAGTAACGGCAGGCCTCTGCTTTAAATGTGGATCAGACAGCTATTTGTTACCCCCTTTGATTTGACTGTAGAAATGTTGGTCAGAACCGTATGACAGAAGTGCTTCTTTAACATCTATTGGTTTATCACAGACTACTGGTAACACTACGCTAGCTGGCGAACGTGTGGCAAACGTTGGTTCTTCGATGGGAGAGGTTTCCGTTACGTAATGAGTCAGCTTAATTTACGGTGGTAACTGCCTTTAAGACTACTCAGTCGAGGCAATGAAGTAAGAGAGGAATTGAGAGCGAAGGGGAGATGCAAACGCCAGCGACTAAACAATGAAATTCGCAGATGAGTGTTTGAGAAGCAGCTGGCCCATGTAAAAGGAGTGAAAAAATTAAAACAGATGAGTAAAAATCCCACTCTACATGACAGTGAGGGTTGGTTCTAGAAATGCTATTAAAGCTTTTATCAGAGATTGACAGGGGACTGAAAGGAATAATCCTCCGCTTCTCACAATTGTTTATTTGTTGAATGCGTGCAAGTCCTAAAATTATTTGAAATCAGAAAATTAAGGAAGCGAGCAGCATATGTTTCGCTACAGCGTAATTTGTTGCCATTGTTCTATGGGAGTACCTTATCTGTTATAAGTGATGAAAGAAAAAGTGAAAGGTAAGCATGGCAAATGAAAGCTATCAAAGATTTTAGATTGAACATGAATTCAAGTAATGAATTGGAAAGTAAGAAAAGAAACCGTTAACAATCGGTGGAGGGGAAGAAGGTAGTTCATCCGACTTTTCACTTGTATTCAGGTCTGGATCACTCAATCGTTCATCAACATTAAAGAGGAATGTTTCACCAATTAATGAACACTGGACTGATGATTCTTGAGTTGTTTTTTGCATATCTGCTGCAAAATTTTTCAAAGAGTGCTCATAAAAACAGAAAGAAAAAAATAAAAATTTCAAAAGAACAGGTATCCAGTAAAGAACCATTTACCAGCAAATCGTAAAATGAAAAGTAAAAAAAAATTAAAAAGTGAAAATGAATTCTCGCTAAAATCAAAAACAGAGCTAAAAAGAGCCAAAAAGCTTGTAGAGAAATTTTATGCAAAGTTCATTCACCTTGAACACCTTTTGAACGCACAGATTTTCCAGGATCGAGAGACTCTGTCTGTCGCTTATCTAGGACAAACAAGTCATCTAACTTGTAGCGCTTTTTACAACAAAAACAGACGTAATTTTCACAATTCCCATTCCTTAATTCATTTGGAGCATCATTTTCAAAAGCCAGAGAATCCGCTTCCTTCATATTTCTTTCGAAAAATTCGCAATTACCAGCAAAGGCCTTTGGCATTTCTTTTTTTTTTTTTACCTTCACTTTCAGCTCATCGTCACGCAATCGGTCAGTGCTACAAGTGGCAATTGGAACATTTCTATTATAAGTAGGAAACCAGAGTTGCGATATATCTTGTTCAGTCAACCTTGTACCCACGTAATTCTCTGCAGGATATTTTAAAATTGCAGTATTAGAACGTTTACTGGTGTCTAATTGTTTCTCTTGTAAAACTCGATGCGCTACCGGGTCCGGTTCTTTCTAAAATACAGCTTCATAACACTCGTAATAGAGTTATTGGGTGTAAATTTGTGATTGCACTTGGGATTATAAATAAGTGGGTGAGTACTTTTAGTTCTCAGAAATTTCTGCAGAAGAAAATACGTTAGCTACATTTACGGCAGCAGCCACAGGAAAAAAATCATTCAAAATGATTCCCTTCCTGATGCTCAAAATTTAAAATTCCGAACTAGTGAACTGAATTTCTTTGTACGTAGAGGAAACAAAACTTCTCATACTAAACTTCAAAGTATAATACGTAACAGAGATTTTTAAAAGTCTACAGCTATAAGTTCTGCCTTAGGTGTACTATAACTACACTCTTCTAGTCGTTTGTCTATTCCAAATGCTTGAAGTTATAATAGATGACAAAATTTTTCTTCGTACAAAAAAAAACAAAGCAGCTTACGCTCAGATCCCGACTGCTAGAAGAACTTGATACTGCAACCTTATTTCTAAAATACCGAAGACTGCCCTCTTCGGACTCAGACGCATCAACAGACAAGCTTCTACTTTCAAAAGTCTCATCGTCATAACGATTATTGATTACTGCTGGCTGAATTGTATATTTGCAGCGTTGAATTGTAATAAAAAACTTTTGTCTCAAAAATGAAACTGCGAAAAACTTGAATTTTAATTACCAAACTGAAGTTTCTATAAACTGACTCGACAAAGTAGAAAAAAACCAATTTGCGCATCTTAAAAAGATACCTTTTTGTCGTTTTCAGTTAAACAATTAAGCAATCTTGCCTTCTTGGCCAGCTCTATGTTTCCTGGTAGCGCTTTCAAGGCAGAAACCATTCCATTAACAAGCAACACACTTGAATACGTTGGTAGAAAGTTCCTATAGGAGCTCAAAATAATTAGCATTAGAAATAGAAATTTTTTTTTCGAACAAAGATGAAACTTACGTGCTGTGAAGAATATCCAGGTCTGCACAAAGAGTCAAGTACTTCATAGCATCCAAATCTACAGTAAATCAGCAATTTTAGAATACACATATATCTTGAAACTAGGGAACTAAACAGCTTTTCAAAAGTCATTAACCGTTACAAATATAACGTAATAATTTACTCGCACTTATGACCTATCTAACAACCAACAGCTACATCCAACTTAAAAAATGTAGGTGATTTCATAAATTTAATAAAAATAAATTATTTATAATTGCACTGAAAGATGTTTCAAAGAAACTGAGTAGTAATCATATATTCTCGACGCCGGTACCCTTCAAAAGATCAGTAATTTCTGTGGCATAATCTTCATAGGATCAAGGAAAGTTCAGGAGAACCTGCTACAGTAGATTTTTTTGCTACAGTAGACCCCTCCCAGACCTGTGTATTCCTGGCCCAGCGAGATTTTCTGAACAGAAACTAGCCAGCTAAACTGAGCTTTATCCACATAAGCCTTAACTCTTTGCTCAGTAAAAATAGTTCATGCTGAACCGTTAAAAATCAGTTCAAAATATCTTCCTGTTCAAAGCCACAGATTACAATTTGGATTTTCAAGCCAGCAGAAAAAATTTAGAAAATAAGGAGTACCGAAAGCAAGTCAGAAATACCTACCAATCACCTCACCAGTTCTAGTAATATGCTAAAAATTTTTTCACGTTATATTCTTTGAAATAAATTGAAATGGATAAAGGCTGAAGGCCACTTGGTAAAAACGTACACTTAAATTTTGCCGTATCTACAACAGTACATTGTGAAAATTGACGCAAATATAAATCACTTAATGTATCGGATAGCAAAAAAGTGCGATCCAACTTTCGGTGACTTGCTTTCTAGCCTTCAAGTGTGGAATTTACGCTTTGACAAACACCTTCACGTCACTAACTGTCTTGAAGAAAATTGTCCTCACTATACCAAAAAAAAAGTTGCACTAAACATTGTCGCCTAAAGGAAGACGAAATGAATAATGACCAATAACATCGACCCCTCCCAGAAAATTACCACCTCCAGTGGGAATTCGGATTCGGATACCTGTCATTCAATCAACGAAAATGTCAATGGACTCACTATGGCACCAAGCCAGAAGTACCATACCACTTTTAACGGTGGGGTTGTACAATTCGTTGGTCATTTAGAGACGGTACAGAAGTGTCAGCTAACGTTTCTAGGTTTCAGCGATTGTTCTTTAATTTAGTGTTCGCCATTTGAGACTAAGGGGTCTTTTGTTTTATATATTGCCGATACGACTTTGGAAACTTACAGTAATGGCACGCAGCAATAAAAACAAAATAAAAGAAGCATCAGCTCCAGCTGTAAAAGGCACCAGATTACAAGAAAAATTTCAAACGTATTTCTGGTTAAACAAATTGTTTGTATCTTTTCGTTTCTCATTTGTATCTTTTAGTCTTAAAAACGTAATCGAAAGGTGACAGTTAGAACCCATCGTTAAGTCTGTTTCAATCAGTGTGGGAACGTGGAATGGATAAGAATCTGTTGTCGGCAGAAGGATATTTGCTCGCCGACTGTTACACACATAAAGCTTCTACTCTCATCCTTATTTTCTATTAGAATGTATTCTCGCTTCAGTACAGTCGTAATATCAGATTACCTAACTTGTTCACAAAATACCAGATATAATTAGTCGCCTCTACGCCACAAATAAACAAGTCACAGAAGTTTTCCAAGAAAAAGATTATGATTTGAAGATATATAGTGGAGCCACCAAATGATTAATCGCGAAAAAATTCAGCTTAAAAGTCTCTTTTATCAACAGATTGGAAGTGCGGTTTTTCAAACGGTGGATCTCAATAAGTAGTGAAGATCCGTTACAAAATGAGTAATACTGGTAAAAATTGTTCAGTAACACTGCCAGGATCCAAAACAAATAAGATGATTTAAACGTGGAAAGCTTCAAAAAAAAGGCGCAATCATTTGAAATTCTATTAAAAACTTTAAAAAGAAGACCAAGGTGAAAAAGCACACTGAAAACTAATAACACCCTGACTTTATGGATAGCCTTTTTCTCACATGCAAGTAGTCTGGCACCAAAAACTTTCAAATTTATCTTTTTTAAAAGCGAAGCAGAAGCCCTTCTACCGCCCAAAAATCCAGTCGCTTGAGAAAGCATCCCAAGCTAACGGGACTCGAGATAAAGTAAAAGCCCTAACTAAAGCCAGAACGTTCGAAACCATTCTAAGTACTCATTCAGGCGACGGGGCCCATGCGCTCGGAAGCGGAAATCCCGCCCAAAATGGATAGGGATTCTGCCTTTCTGAGTGTCGAACGGCTCGCTGTACGGATTCTTAATGGTGCGCCAGTCCTTTCTGGAATAGTTTTCCGGACCAGCAGTAGTGTTGCATAGTCGCGGAACCGCTCTAGTCCCAGAGCCATCCTAGAAAGCCGTCGCTTCAGCACCAAGTGAAGGATAGAATGGACGCACAAAGAAATATTGAAATTTTCTGAGGGTACTGCTGCTCTCGCTTACAGAGGGTAGGAATACCCCGCTCACGCCTCGCTGAGGTCCCTCCCAAGCTTAATTTTTCGTGCAAAGAGAAAGGGAAGGGACGTGGATGTACTGACGTCATGTCATAATACAGTGCGTAGGGGTTTCGAAATGCGTCAGTCGTACACTTGTTCCAAACACGTTTTTCTTGTGTTTCTTTCCTCCTCCTCATTTTTCAGCTTAGAATGTCGGACGGTGTGGTCAGTTCTTTAGGTTCCATTAATAGGTTCCATTAAGAACAGACTTCTCAAATTAAAACAAAAAACTTGGGCTCCTTCAGAGTTATTCCTTGGCCGTTCAGGACAAGTTATCAATTTGTTAATTTTCAAACTGAAGTTGTTAAGCCATTTATTTTGTGTTGAACAGGTTTTAAAAGTAAGGTGTGGAAAAATAGCAACTTGAGAAAAAAGAAGGCGAACTGCGAGGGGAACATAGCAGACGGACAACTCTGTGTTGAAGTGCTAAACGAACTCAAATGACGCAATGGACGTAGATATCATTGTCCTTACAGAAGGAAAAGCTATATTGGAGTAATCAAGGAACAACCTTTTACAAGCCAGCAAAGATTCCAGCAGTTAATGTTCACTTGAAACTGTTAACTGGCTTTCATTCCAATTGGTTGCAGACATAAAAACTAGTTTTTTGCAGAACTGGTTTTTTACGGTAATTTTTAAGTGGTCGGATTTGATGAACCATAGGAAATTTTTAATTGTTGCGTCATTCTAACGGTGGAAGGTTTATTTTAGTAGAAAAACTGAAAGGAAGCTTAAAGTTTTACAGTTTGGAGGTAAAAGTAATAAAAGCAGACTTGGCCACAAAAAGAAGCTCAAAACCCAAATGCGTGAGGAACTTGTAGCCTAAAAGGTTTTGGGTCATCTGCAAAGTCTTATTACGATGTCTGTCGAATTAGAGATTATTTCCTAACAGACAACTTGGGAACTATTAGCAAAAGCTTGACGCTGAAATAGTAAAGGTCATCATTATATCTGGAAAACTGCTCGTTAAGGGCGAAGAGTGAAACATACAGGGCGCAGGTAAAGTGCATTTCTTGGTCTATTTGAATTTTAAGGGAAGTACTCCGTAACTTCACCTGGAAAGTATGTCGTCTCAATGAGAGATGAAACCCTGAGTAGTTGAAAGGAAAAGTTTTTAGTAGGACAATAATTAAAGATTGGGGCGACAAGCTTTCAGCAAGAACGGTTTCCTCTAATAGCATTTACCATTTTAGCCGGAAATTCGTCTGAGTTTATGGAAGAAAGTCCTGAACTTTACCTTTTCAAAACAAAGAGCAAACTTCCGACTGCTGTAAAAAATTTCAGTCGACGCGGGAAAGATTTAAACAAGCCTGCATTTTAGAGTCTCCGCTAATTGTTCAAAGCCTGACTACAGTTGCAAGGAGTGCAAAAGACTGAAAAATCACTGCATTTTTCGTGAAAATACTCACTATACTACAAGTTTGCTTAGAGAAAGATAGGATCGGCAAGTGTCACAGTGCCAGCGACAATTGTGCAGTCAGTGTAATTTATTACGACTAAGTTAACACAATGAAGTTAACAAACAGTGAAACGATAATAATACAACTTAATACTGCTGAGTATAGCACTCAGGAGTTAAATTATACCGAGGTTGTTAACAGCAAAGTCTATCAGTCCCTTATTCGTTTTAGCTGGACCGGTGAGGTCAAACAAATGGCCCATGGAAGTATCGCTCAAATGGTTTTGAGAAAAGGTTAGATTTCCGATCATTGTGCGATATGTTGGTCCGAGCAGTTTGTCTGGAAAAATTGGTTGAGGCTAACGACCTGTTCTAATTTAGTTGAATCAGCAAAGCAACATCTAAGACCTTACAGTATTGGTACAAATATATTCTTTTATCTTAAGTACCTGGCCGGTCATAAAGTAATTCAATTTCCGGAAAGCCTCCTCAAGAACCTTCTCATCTGAAGTGAGAGGTTAATATAAACAATGTTTGCTTCCTTTAAACGCAAGTTTATGTATTAGACAAATCAAAAACGAACTTGATAAGATCTGAACCACCAGCACCTACCAAAGTCACCATGCCGCACACCGCTACTATTTGTATCACTTACTGTAGCTTTTCGGAATTTTAGTTAGGCTCTGCAATCTGTGCATTCTTAGATTTATCAAATGTTGCAACAGCTAACCTCGAGATTGGTATTAAAGTATTTTTTTATCTCTGTAATGTGGCGCCATTGCTACTAGCCATTTTTTACTACTATATTTTTTCTTTTAGTCGGATTCTACCTGTTTTCTGTATCCAACGCAAGTTAGAGACGGTCATAATGATTCGCTGATATTCATGCTTATTTAACTTTCATGCGTATTTTCTAATTACGGGCCTGTGGTGGCTGCTGTAGAAGAACTATGAAGCTTCTAGTTGAGGCTTGTCACGACTGACGTGTCTACTTGTTGTTGAAAGCTAGCAGCGTCTGTACCTTTTCAGCTTTTCTGCAGGAAGGTACTCTACAGGGGCCGCGCCTCTAAATGTATAGTATACATGAGTTTGCTAAACTATAAAGTTTATGAAGTGGGGCTTAAAAATTTTTCCATAAAACAACAAATACGACTAAGGGAAGTACGATTACAACGAGAATTCCAATTCTTCCTTGACGATTAGTCTTAATAAAAAGTGTTATTGAAAGCTGTTTTTTTTTTGTTTTGAATGAATATTTTTTTTTGGCCTTGAAGAACGCATTGCCATACGATTGCGTTTATTATTAGGGTCAAGCTTAGCACAATTAGGATGGCTTCTTTAAGCAAAAAAGATATTTGTGAGTTTTAAAGAGTAAGACAATTTTTTCAATTCCTTTTTTAATGATAACCTTAGTATGAAATATGAGACCCGTGAGAAACTTTTTCCAAAATATAAATCATTTTGAATCGGTAAGGAGTTTTATTAGGAAAAATGCTTTCTTTCCGCCCATTTCGACTGTTCTTATCAGTTTCGAAATATGATTTGATGTGAAGTCAGAGTACATTTAAATTTTATAAATTTCATCATGATAAAGAGTTAGGCGTTTAGCGGTTTTTTCAGTCTTTTGACCTGCCTTTGTATCCCCTAAAATTGAATACCTGCCGTACAGTTTACAAGAGTTTGGACTTTTAAACAGTGAACTAAATGGAGAACAGAGAAGTTCAATGCCGAAAGCATGGAAGAAATTTCTGATAATTCTCGGCGAGAGCAGTGTAAAAGTGTTGAACAAAACAACTTCTTTAGTTTGTTACGGGACTGCGCTATATTACTGCAACCGAGTATCCAAACCGTGGTTTCTTGATCACTTCTTCAGGGAATGACTTTATTCCGAAAGAGAACTGGCAAAGGCTGGGATCCCCTCAGCAGAATTAGAATTTCGTTTAAAAAAAGCCAAAGAAGGAAAATGCTGCTTATTAGAGGATTCCCAGTTGAAGCACAGAAATTAAAAGAACTCAAATTATGAGGGAATGCTATGAAGGTAAGTCTTATACAGTACATTAAACTGGCCAAAAAATCGAGTTAATCATGGCAGTGAGAAGCAGTTAGAAATGGTCGTAGAATTTACGCCAGTGAAAGTGCCTTATTTGAACTCAAGACCGTAAAAGTGGTGTGCAAGGAAAAGGTAGAAAACGTCAAAAGGGTATTTCAAACCATGAGAAAATGAGGAAGAAGTAATTTTAAGATGAGCCTTTTAGGGCTCTGATTTCTCCAAATAATAACAGGTGAAATTGTTCTATCAAAAACGCATCCTCGGCTTGTAATTTCTATCTGTATTGTTGTTTTTTTGGCATTAAAAAACAGCGTAAATATGCTACGTCACATCGTGAAAGAATAAGAGGAAAAAGTTGCTGTCTACCAACTAGCTGACGAAACTGGAATAAACCAAAGTTCATTGTACGGTCACAAAGTCTCTCAAACGGCAACACCTGCAACAAAGGGGCAGGAATGCAAATCGATTCTTGGATTCAGCAACTAATTCTTTTAAAACCTGTGAAAAGCTTTCCAAAAAAATTTCTGATTAAATCATCATATATTAAGCCCTTAGAAAGTATCAACAGGTTTACAAGACGATATGGGGTGATGTCCGCGTTAAAATATCGGTTTTTGCACAATGACCAGGAAATTGAGCAGGTTAAGTGAAAAAAGAAAAAATTCCACAATCGAAATTTATTCGGGAGCTCAAAAACATCCAGTCTTCTGTGCTTTAGAGTACAGTACGAGCCTGACGGCTGAGTATCATTACAACTTGCTTCATTCTCAAGTTTCAATACTATGGTTTTTAAATTATTGATGGAAGCAGCTTCAAGAAATGGTTAAATCTATTAATGGTCTTACACGGTTTATTTGCTGTTTGGGTAGGTCGTTGTGATAAAAATATATATACTCCTAAAGCCATTCCGCTATTGAGTAACGGTAGGTTTGACCAGAGATGCTACAAAGTGGTAGAAAATTTTAGAAGTGAAGTGTTATAAATCGTGATTTCAAAGTTGATAGAGCAGGATTTTCTCTTTATAGTGAGGTGTCGAGAGAATGGGCTTCACTTAAAGTATTTTGGCATAGAAAAAGGTGGATTACGATAAAAGGTAGACGTTACAATTTCTTTGCCTCTTTTGGTATTATTCAAAATGCGTTCAACCATTTTGTTGTATAGGGAAGGGCTTACTAAGTTTTTTCTTATGACCTGGAACCTTCAAAAAGGCAATCTTCTTGAGGGTTTGAAAGCTGCGCGTAAAAACTTGATTTCCGGTCCTTTCGCCCAAAGCAGAAGGTGAATACAAATGAAGAGAGAAGGGTGAAAGAAAATAGGGGCCAAGGGATTTGTAGTGGAGGGGTGGTGGTGGAGAAGACGAAAAAGAGAGCAGCATTGTCTTTTATAATTGATATTACTATGCTTACAGCACAGTTGGTAACATCTGTCATAGCAAGGAGGCTATCCTCGTGTTCAAAAACCAAAAATGACTTACATCTGAACCATGTTTACTGATTCAGAAAGATAAACGCTCACTGGTTATTCAACCCACCTTAAGGATTTATTTCACAGACGTAGCTTTTGCTATAGATTATTCCAAATTTCCAATGTTAAGATTTCTTTCTCAGCCGTAAACAATGGCTTTCAGTCATTTGAGCTTTAAGCAAATTTTTTTTTCATAACTTGTTTGCAACATCCATTGCTGAGGA